GCCTTTCTGGATGTCTCTTTGGATATCAGAGTAAGAGGGCTTGCAATTGTGCTTCAGTATGCCTCTAGGCCCCTATAGCTTTCCAGAACCAAAGTATTTGTCTTAAAAACCTACACTGCAGGCACAAGGGAGCTTGGTGGTGAGCGGGTCCTGCAGAGGCCATGACACTGGTGTCCCTGTGGTTCTGGCTTTAGGCTGGACAAGCAGCATTATCCCCTCTGCATCCTTGACATACTTTCCTCCTCCTTCCCTTTGCCCGCCCCTCAACACCCTTCTGGCTTGCAGACTGATGGGGTTGGATTGTTTTCAGTACCGCATGACATCAGTAGCTGAACTGAGTGATGACACAGGGAGGGAACTCTTGATGGCTCTGGGAGCCCCTGGAACATGAGGGAAATATTCAGCATCACACCTGTAGCAGTTATATTAATGTAATAAGCAGTGGGTCATTGGGAGCAGAGACAGACACCAATATGGTGCGTAAGGAATGCATGCTGTAGTGAAAGAGAAAAAGGTTTAGAGTGTGGTTTCGAATGCTGACACGTCACAACACGTGACCTTATCAGCCAATCCTATACAAGCATTTAACTGCGCCTGTGTGACAGAGTCTTTAAAAACTACAACTCCCAGGACGCTTTGCTAGCACCCATCCTGTAACCAGATCCCACACACACCCTCTTTTTTTGCCTCCTTCCAGACAATGCCTGCAGGTTCACAATGGGTATCCTCAGTGTCAGCTGCCTGAGTCTTCTTGTCAGCTCATGGGAAGTGTTTGGGTGAGGGCTTTTCCCACAGCTCAGCAGCTCCTTTCTCACTCCTCCAGGCAGCCTCATCCCTCACCACAGTTCTGGAGGACTGTGTGACACCCAGGGAGCTGGATCTGAAAGAATGCTTCAAATGTCGCAAGTAAGATGATTCCTAACAACATAATATCACCAGATCCTGCATGAGGGGTGGCTGAATGTCATCGAACAGAAGTCATCTTCTCATGGAGGTTTAATGCACAACAATGAGACACAGCTTTTTTAATGTGGCTCGGAACAGCCTTAAAATAGCGTAAGGATGACTGAGACAGGAAAGGTTGTCTGGTCTTCTTGGGGGAAGATCAGATGCATTTCAGCACTTGGCTCTGTGCTTGGTTTCAAGGTGTAAGAAGAAGGTTGCTGCCTCCAAGAGGATCACAATCCATCAAGCACCCAGAGTCCTCACGTTGTGTCTGGAAAGGGCTGACCAATGGACTGGCAAGAAGATCAGCAAGGTGTGCAACTTTCTCTTCCTGCAGCAGAAGATTCCCCAAAGCAGTACACTCTGTCACAAGCTGTTCTTGTTGAGTTCTTTATGTTCCCTTCCGGGGAGAGGAGAATTCCTGTGGGAAGACCAGCCTGGACTTTGCTCTGACAGAGAACAGTTTCCTGCCACCCAAACCATTACATATCGAAGGCTATTTCATGTGGTAGCTTAGGATCATTTCTGAGCCCTCTTGGTCTCTCTGTAGTTTGTGGACTATCCTGAGTACTTGGATCTTCGGCCATACATGTCTGACACAGCTGGAGAACCCCTCCTCTGCTCTTTATATGCCATCGTGGTGCACAGTGGTGACACCTGTCTTGAAGGACACTTTTTCTGCTACACAAAGGTAAAGACATTCCTCCTGACAAGGAAAAATGTGTGCTGGGGAAGACAAACTTTCCCAGCAGTGTTACTGGCAGCCAGGGTTTTGGGGGAGAAGGTCTCCTTTGGGACTGGATTGGATTTGTTTTAGTGTACTCTTGATTCTGTGGTTTTCTGCCTGTGGTGGTGTGGAAGTTCCTCTCCAGTTGGATGCCTTTCTTTGCAGGCCAGCAATGGACTGTGGTACAAGATGGACGATGAGTCTGTGGATAGTTGTGACACCCATACAGTTCTGGGGCAGCAAGCATACTTGCTGTTCTATGCCAGGTAATAACCAGTGTCACATGGGTTCAGAATACGTTTCCTTTTCCTGGCTTTGCTGTTTGTCTTCTCATCCTCCTGGGTGCTTCTGTAATAGGAGAGAACTCCTCCTTGCATTCTTCAGTGCTGTCAATTTTGAACTATCCCACACCATTCCTTCTCTTCCCTTGCTTCACCTCCAGGCTGTAGGGTGCTGCCCTGTATATACTGCCACTTGTCTACTCTCTGAAGCTGGCTCATGTAGAGAAGAACACTTAAAGGGGGCCTTCAGGAAACATGAGTAGGGACTCTTTATCAAGGAGCGTAGTAATGGGATGAGGGACAATGATTTTAAAGCAAAGAGGGAAGATTTAGATTAGATATTAGAAAGAAATTTTTCCCTGTGAGGGTGGTGAGGCCCTGGCACAGGTTGCCCAGAGAAGCTGTGGCTGCCCCATCCCTGGAAGTGTTCAAGGCCACGTTGGACAGGGCTTGGAGCAACCTGGGCTGGTGGAAGGTGTCCCTGCCCGTGTCAGTGGAAGGTGCTCTTGCCCATGTTGGAACTAGTTGATCCGTAATATTCCTTCCAACTAGATTCTAGGATTCTGTGAAATGGAGGCCATAGTGGGTGTAAAGACAAGGGCAGACCTGGTGAGAAGATCCCAGTTAAATGTCCCATTGGTGACCTTGGTGAATTCTTCTCTCTGTTGCTCCAAGAAAATGACTAAATCCCAGAAGAGTCTACAAGGAATGCAGTAAACAGAGATCACTCTTTGTTCCTCCAGGTGCTCCAATTTGAAAATGGGAGAAATGGCAGCTTCCTCACCAGCACCGTCATATGCCCATTCCATCCTCAGCCAGATGAGGGGCAGCAGTAAGCAGGCAGGTTCTGCAGGACCACAAGCTCTGCCTGGTAGGATTAAGGTGACACACAGCCAGAGGAACAGTGCCAGGGAGAGGGCCCAGAGCAGATCCCCACCGTGCGGCAATGATCTCTGCAGCTGGTTCATGAACAGCACTGACTACGACAACTCAACAGGGAGGAGGAAGAGAACTAGTTCTTTAGGCTGTAACCACACTGCCAGGGATAACACAGCTCCAGGGCTCTCCAACTGGCTTTGCCAGTGGACACCTGCACCCAGCGCTGCTTGGGTGCAAAGCCTGCCAATACGGAGATCCGCATGGCAGGGCTATGATCTCTGGAGCCAGGTTGTGGAGATTACAAACTCTCATCAATCAATGAGGAGGTTTGAGCATCACAGAGATGCATGTCAGACAAACACAGTATGATGAGGCCAGACTGTCAGCCTGGATGAGGGAGCAGCACAGCATGAACAAAATCAACACTCGATTGGAATGAAGAGGCAGAAAAGCCAAAGCCAGAATTAAACCCCGTTATTGGCCTGTGGAGGACCAGGCCTAAGCATGTTTTGCCTTAAACATTCTGTTACAACAGGAAAAGTAACTGGTGGAGAGGGTCCTGCAGAGCAGGGGCATCATGTTCTGAGCCAACTTCCTGCTCCACCTTGAGACTCTTGCTGTTCCATCCCCAACTAACTTGCAGGAGGAGTGCTAAAAGGGCTGGCTGTGCATGTGGAACACAACAGCAAAATAAATCTAGTTTACGTAAGAGGCTGCACCAGGTTAACTAGGAAAGGAAGTGGATTGAGCCCCCCAGCTCTTTTTCCTCTCTTTCTCTTTGTCTCGCAACCTCAGCTCCAGACCCACCTGGCAGGACCAGCGTGGGATCTACAGACTGGTGATATTCTTTGTTCTCTCTCTCCCTTTTCTATCTTTATTTCTCTCCTCTCTGGCTTTGCGTGAGCAAAGCACAGCTATGATATTTTACCCTGTGCTCCATGTTGAAGTTTGTTTTGGGAGTGGGGAGCTTGTGGAAGTGTCTTGTTGCTTGTGAGCCGGCACCTTTGAGGAGCTTCTTGTGGGAGTTGAGAACTTAAAGTGTATTGTACCCAATCTAAGGGCTTGTTTGACTCCACTCTTGTAGAAGTGTGTTATAATAATTTAAGGGCTTATTAGCCCACACCTTTTTAATCTAAATATTAGGCTGGTTCCTGGAGTTATGGTGGCTGTACAATAAAACATAAAGACTTCCCTGGCATGTAGCCCAGTGTCTTTGTTCAGCCTGACAAGAATTCAAAACAAACATCGCATCTCTGACCATGTAGGTCATGACATGACCTTGCATGAATAATCTTTCTTTTTAGGTTTTGGGGCAATTAGTGGAAATACCCACTGTGGGATGTTGTGCATGATGGGATTTTGAAAGCTGTGTCCTTGCATGTGTCCATCTGGCCATCTCCTATTTTTAAATATGGATTTCAAGTCACTCAAAGGGACATGGCTTGGATGAGTCAACACTGATTGAAAAGGGCTGATAGTTGGACCCCAAGGGTTCTGCTCAGCAGCACCAAGCCTCGTCTGGAGCCAGGAACAAGCAGTGTGTCCCAGGGGTCAGAGACTGATCCTGTTTAATGTCTTTCTTAACTAATGGTCTGCATGCTGGGGCAGAGAGAATATTCAGCAAATTGGCAAATGACACCAAAGGAGGAGTGGTACTTAGGCCACGGGTCTCATGCTGCCACAGTGGAGAAAAGGGCAGATTGTCAACCTGGATGAGGGAGGAGCAGAGCATCTGACTTCTGCAATGCCAGAGAGGAAGAAGAGGAATGCAGGAAGTTTCAAAACTGTCCCTAGCAGAGACCAAGTTGCACAAAGGGAACCAACAGGCTATCCTATCCCTCTGAGTGCTGCCTCTAACAAGAAAGCCCTAAGAGAGAAGTCAGAAAGAAACTTGGACAGCTCTGCCAGCTGGTTGCCTGCCCACAGTGGGGCTGTGGACATGAAGCTTTGAGCCCTAAGTGAGAAGTTTGTACCCTGAAATAGGGCTTTGGACCATAAAAAGGAGACTTTCAAGGCTAGAAGCAAGGCTTAGGGCTCTAATGATGATGCTTTGGTCCCTAAAAGAGGACTTTGGACTATCCCGATGGAGGTTTGGACACTCAAGGTGTGACTTGGACCCTAAAAATGACTGCCTGGGTCCTAAAAATGCTGCTTTGGAGCTTGAAAAGAAGGCTGGTTGTGTCTGGTATGGCTGATTTTGTACAAGTCTTAACTGTCACCGGTAACATTGTGCGAGGATGTCTCTATACATTTTCTGGTTAAGGGCTGTGGGAAAGTGACTGGGGGTAAAAAGACAATAGTACAGAAATTATAGGGGAAAATATGTTGCTACTCCCTGGATGGAACACAGTCAGCATACCCAACCTTCCCCCCACAATACAATCTAAGGGTGACTAAATGGAGGGTGGAGTTGAGTGAAGACACCACGGATCTGTCAAAACCTTTGCAGGGGAGGGAACTTAGTGGTACTTTCCAACTGATCAGCTGCACAGCAGCTGAAAACCAAGGGACATAAAGGAAGATGTCCTGCTGTTGAATCCACAGCTGTGGCAAAATCCCTCTCCTTGGACTGATGGGTGTCCCCATTTCAAGGTTATCTCAGGTACTGCACTGAGATACCTGTCCCCAAGGTACAACCACCCCTCACTGAGTAAGACGCATGACTAAAATCACAGCTTAAAAAACCAGCATAAAAGTGAGTTAAAAACTGGGAGCATTTAGGGAAAACTCCATCGGAACTTGTGGGATCAGTCAACAGGCTGAAACTGTCTCTCTCCCCGTAGGGGCCCATTGGGTAAAGGAACCACACTCTGCACGTGCTGAATGATCTTCTCTAGCCATCTTATGTCAGGGATTAGAGGTTGTCTGTATATTGCTTTGAATACATTTTTGCAGTCAGATAGTATCATCAGCAATCCTTGAAACTTAACCTGTCGCAATTTTATTAATAAAGAGTGTTATTCCATGAATTGTTGGTGTAAGTCTTTCAAGGGTTTTGACAAACATTAGGGTTCAGGAAAATCTTTCCTTTTCATGTGACAAGGGCCAGCCTCTACTTTGTTCTGCAAGAAACAAACCCTCCCATCCAGTATGCTCCAGTTCACGGTGTAACCAGTTGCCTAATCAATAGCAATGTTGAGGATCTTCCAACTGATCAATTTTTATCTTCTTAATTTTTGTGATCTGATCCACCTTCTTGTTCCAATAAGTCTGTAAGGCTTGATCATTGGCATGAGCTTTGACCCATCCTATGTGGATTGGTCGGGATTGAGCCTGTAACAATAACCACTTCCAGTCTTCCTTCTGCCAAACCTCCTTTCCATTTACTTGTCAACCTAATGCTTTCCACTGACACAGCCACTGTGTGGCACCAGCCGAGACTGCATAAGAATCAACATATTTTGTATTTGTTTTCTCTTTTACTGCCAGCAATTCAGCTTTTAACTCTCCCACCTATGCCCTTCCCATTCCTTCTTCTGCTACTTCAATTCCTGTCTGAATGTTAAGAGCAACTGCTCTATACTTCAATTTACCATCTCTGTGTTTGGCTGAGGCATCAGTAAAACACATCTTTTACTTCAGTCTGATGTAAATGCAGAGCATCAAGTACAGGAGTAGGCTTATATGGCTGTTGCAAAGCCAGCATATCTGGGATCACAGCTACCTGTAATTTGGTAGGTTCTCCCAGCCCTTCAGTTATATCCATCCAATCCATGACTCTTGAGACATATGCACACCATCTGTGTACTGCTGGCCTTTGTGCAATCCCATCTGGTGGAGCACTGCCCTTCTTAACACCCGCTAACAGGTTAAAAGGGCCTTGGATTTGCACAGATTATAATGGTGATATTTTTCTACTTCTTTAAGAGTTGGGTCAGAGATAATAATACCTTTTCCCAGTCCATGTATCTTTTTTCAGTATCTTTTGATGCTGTGGAACTGAACCCTAATGGTCGTTCAGGTCCATGAGGGCTTTCCTGGAATATATTGTAGCAAGTCCCACGTTCAGCAAAACCCCATTCAACTATTATAGGATCACGGGGGTGTCGGTGTAGGCGGTGGGTCCGCCGTGCCCCTTTTGAGGGATGTAGAGGAAGAGGATTTTGATCTAGACACCCTAAGGCCTTTCCCCTGAAAGAAAAGCAGGGTCCATAGAGATCTTGGTAAAAGGTGCCAGTCCTGACCATGGGAGAAAGAATGTAAATAAGAGGTGAACATCCCATCATATGTGAAGGTAAATATAGATAAGAGAGCTAAGAATAATGTTAGTATGTAAGATTCTAAGAGACAGTGTGTGTGTGCAGCTGTGTGAAGACAATGTAATATTCTGGATGAAGAGAATAAAGCTGAATTTAGGCCATCATCATCTAAGTTCCCAGTTTTATTTACATGGTCATCCTCGTATTTAATACAACACGGGGGTAAACTGGCTGAAGTGATTGATATATTTTTAAGTTCTCTGTTAGCATGTGCAAAGCCTGTTCATGACTATCAAGCCACTCCCAGGTCTTTTTTCCCTCATAATGCATAGAACAGTTTTGCTATTATAGAAAATCCAGGAGCAGACAGGAGAATTGCATAGGGAGTGTGCCCTAAATACCTCTGTGCTCTAAATCCCTAATTAGTTCATTTATCCTTTCTCTGGATGCAGGGGAAATAAGGACCTTTGATATTATCCACAACAGAAATGGGTAAGACTGGAGCAATTTTTAATGCAGTAATTTTCATATTCTCTCCAGAAAATTTACAATTTGGAGTTTTTGCAGGCCTGAATGATCAAACATTCTCATTAACCAACTGCCAAACTTTTCCTTTAAAGATATTGTATCCTAAAATATTTTCTTCATGGCCTGCAATTACAAAGGTACATGAAATCATTCTTTTTCCCTAGGTGACCATAAACAGACAGGAGGATTAGGGATTTTTAATAATGCCAGTTCTAATTTTTTTTTCCAAGGCTTCTGCTTTTCCCTCAGATTCTTGAAATTGTGGTTCTAATAAATCATTCTATACCTAAAAACTGAGCTTTGGAAATGAAAAGGAAGGTTTGAACCATGAAGTTAGGTTTTGTGCCCTCGAAGGATGCTTCATTACCACAAATTAGGTCTTGGCCTCTAAAAAGGGGTTTTTAGAGGCTTAAAATAAGCTTTGAGCCCACCAAATCTCAGGCTGAATCCTAAAGAGAAGGCTTTGGTCCCTAACAAAGGAAGCCCTGGACCCAACCTGTACAATTTGGATGTGTTCTGAACTGCAGGGTTTTGGGGTGCCCTGCCCCTGACCCACAGGCTCCAGGGCTTCCTCTGTTGGATTCTGAACCATCTCTTCACAGTGTAGTAGGATAACTCCTCCATTTTTGTGTGTCCAGATAAAAAGCCTCCAAAATACCATTTATTTGTCCCCCAAGTGTTGGCTTTTTAAAATTTTTCCAACGTGACAAGGGATTTTAAACCTTGTTATTCACCATTTTTATTACTAACCACCCTCTTCTCCAGACTTTTACCACCAGACCAAAGATTTGTGCCTCATCTGGTATCATTTGGACCAATCCCAAGATGAAACTCTGGTGCTGGAGCACAGGAGTCGCCCTGACCTGGACCTGGCCTAGGCTGTGCTGCTTCACTCAGAAATTTAAGGTGGAGCTTTGAACCTGTATTCAGGACCGAGGCCAGAGCAGTTTTGTGAGATTTTGCCCTGGGATATGGGTCAGGGCCATATTTTTGCCCTGTCATAGCAAAATAAGAATGGTGGAACCATTCTTCCCTGGCCATGTTCCTTCTCTCCCCTGGGGCTGCTGTATCCCAGCCCTCTGTTCCCCAAATCCTTAAGAGCCCTCTGGCCCCTGTCTGTGTCCTTTTTGTGTTTCACTCAGGCCCTTTTGGATGCCTCCATGCCCCTTTGGGGTATCCTTAATTTCCCTTTGGATGTCCCCAGGCCCCCTTAGGGTGCCCCTCCAAGGCTCCTCCATGCCCATTTGGGTAGTCCCAGCTCCCTTTGGATACAGCACCCCTCCACCTTCCTCCGTGCCTCTCTAGCTGCCTCTCTGAGCCCCTCAGTCCCACTCAGTGTCCTGTGGGACTCCCTGGAGCTTCTCCCTCTCTTGTTCTCCCTCATCCGTAATTCCCCTGGAATCCCCCCCCGCTTCTCCCCCCATCCCAGAGGTGTTCTAGGCCCCTTAAGGGCCCCTTGCCAGCGCTGGCTCCGTGCCCGAGCCTGCTAACAGGCATCCCCAGCTGCTCCGCCATGGAGGAGACGTGAGTGCACCAGGGGCTCCGAGGTTCTCCCACTGCCGGCACCCCCTGAACCCGCTGTTCCCCCCAGGGTGCCCTCGGTGGAAGCCTACGAGGCGGCCATGGTGCTGAGCGGGGTGGGGGATGCGCTGGGGTACCGAGGGGGCCGCTGGGAGTACTGCACCTCAGGCCCCCAGATCCACGCTGAGCTGGCTGAGCTGGGGGGGCTGGCGGCCATCACGCTCGAGCCACCCGAGTGGCCCGTCAGCGATGACACCGTCCTGCACCTCGCCACCGCCGAGGGCCTGGCCACAGGTGGGGAGGGGCTCCATGGCACCCCACAGATACAGGGGTTGGATCCCTGGGGTTGGGTCCCCATCGTACCCCAGGCTAGCTAGAGTGTTCTGGGTGAGGGGGATGTCCTCATTATACCCCCTAGGAGGTGGGAGTTACCTTTTGGTTGGGTTGTTATAGTGGGGTCTGGGGGGGTCCCCGTTGTAGCCCTAGGCTGTATGGGGCAGAAGTCCCCCATTGTATCCATGACCCAAACTGGAGGGTTGCTGGCAGGGGCTTTTGGGGGGACCCTGGCCAGCTCTGGAGGGGGCTTGGAGGCATCCTAATTCCACTTTCCCCCTCACCTCCCCTTTTAGGATTTAGCCAGTGAGGCTTAAGGGGGGTGTCCTCATTTCTTCGGGGAGAGTGGCAGGTGGGGAGTGTGTGTCTGTCTGTATCTGTGTATTTTTCACCATTTATGTGCCCTTCCATATTGGGGGTTGGAAGGGGGAACATTCCCCCTCCCACTTTAGAGACCTGGCAGGGCTTACCCCTTTCCCACCCAAATTGGAGCACTCAGGGGGATTCCCCATTTCTCCATGAAACTTGTCCTGCTTCCCCTCCAATTCTGGGGGGTCCGTGAGTGGTGTCTCCTTTTCCCTCTAGTTTTGGTGGTCCATGAAGGGTGTTCTCCCCCCCCCGCCTCCAGTTTTGGGGCGATGTACGCTTTCCCTACATGTTTTGGGGGGGGAGGTGCAGTGACGGGTCTTCCCTTTCAGTTTTGGAGGGTGCATGGGGCTTCTCTCTTCCCTTCCTGCCAGTCTGGGTAACCCAGGATGGTCCTCATGCTCTCCCCCCAGGTCTGGAAGGGGAACCCCTCCTGCAGGAGCTGGCTCGCCGCTACGTGGCTGCCATGGGAGACATGGAGGGACGCAAGCCTGGACCCACCAGCATCCTGGGTGAGCGGGGCTCAAGGATGTGGGGAGAGGCAGGGGGATTAGGGGGCCTCACGCCCCCATGCTCCCCCAGGCACCTCACAGCTGCGGCCTGGGGAGCCCGAGGGCTATCGCATCCCCTTCAACCCCCGCGGCACCGGATGCGGGGCCGCCATGCGCAGCCTGGCCATCGGCCTCAGGTGGGGCTGGGAAATGGGGGGACACGTGGGGATGGGGGACGGAGGTATCAGAGCTGGGGGGATGGGGACAGATTATGTGGGGGGGGGTCAAAATGGGTGGACTAGGGAAGGGTGTCAGGGCTGGAGGGATGTCGGGGAACAGGGACATGGGGAATGGGGGTGACAGATGTTGGGGCTGGGGAAATGGGTGTGTCAGAGCTGGAGGGAAGAGGACATGAGGGGATGGGGGTGGGGCAACAGGAACATGGGGATGTCAGAGGGAGAAGAATGGGGATACAGAGACGGGTGGGGCTGCGGAGGACAAGGTCTGGAGTTTGGGGATATGGTGGTGCTGGAGCTGGGAGGTCAGGAACAGAGAACACGGGGATAGCAATAGGGAGAATGAGCACAGCAGGGACAATGACAGTGGGGACAAGGGTGGTGGGATGGGAGCAGTGCTGGGGATACAGGACCGGGGAAGGTGGGGACTTGTCTGATGCCAGCACAGGTATCCACATGCCTGGGAGCTGCCGACACTGATTCAGGTGAGCATCGAGAGCGGTCGCATGACCCACCACCACCCCACTGGTAAGTGCCAGCCTGAGGGAGGCAGGGCAGGAGGGGACACAGGAACACCCCTGAAGCCCCTGTCCCCACAGGGTACCTCGGGGCTCTGGCAGTGGCCCTCTTTGGGGCACTGGGGGCTCGAGGGGAGCCCCCAGAGCGCTGGGGGGCTGAGCTGCTGAGGGTCCTGCCCCTGGCATGGGACTACGTGGAGGGCACCGGTGTGGCTGTGGAGGACAATGCTGCTGCCTGGCCCTTCTTTGGGGAGGCCTGGCACCGGTGAGGAGGCACTGGGAGTTTCCTGGGGAGACATTGGGAGCACAAGGTTGGACTGGGGAGGATACTGGGAGGGGCTCAGGGGGCCACTGGTGTCACTGGTGTCCTCTAGGCTCTCTCCCAGTCCTGGCAGCGCATCACACTGGAGTTACTGCTGATCCTGGTATCCAGTCTGTCCACAGGGCTGGCACTGCCCATCCTGTGCCTGCTGCACCTGTGTCCCGCCAGTGGTGCCCTCCTCAGGGACACTGACCTGTGTGTCCCTAGGGTTCCTGGGGTTATGGGCTTTCCTGGCATTACTGCTGTCCCCACTGTGTCCAGTGGCACAGTGCCTCCCAAGTGTACCAATAGTCCCCAGTGTCCTCACAGGTTCCTGAGGTTACAGGGGCTGCTGGAGAGCCATAGCCTAGTGACCCCTAGTGTCACTGGTTACCCCCTTGTCTGGTGACACCAATGTCCCCACTGACAACAGTGTACCTGATGACTCCCCATGTTTTCAGTGTCGTCCCTGCTGCCACCAATATCCCCAGTGACCTCAGTATCCCCATGTCCCTGCAGGTATCTGGACTCCCGTGGGCTTCTGGAGGGTCGTGGCCCAGCCCAGGTGCCATCCCTCCCGTCCCCAGCCGAGCGGGACACAGCGTACCTAGGCTGGGCACTGGAGGGGTGGCCAGGGCGCAGTGGCCATGACGCACCCATGGTGGCCCTGGAAGCCCTGCTGGCAGCCGGTGGGAGCTGGGAAGACCTTTGTGGCAGGGGAGTGTTGCATGGCGGGGACAACGATTCGACGGGGACCATCGCTGCTGGGTGCTGGGGGCTGCAGGGGGGACTGACATCCATCCCCCCAGGGCTGCACTGCCGCCTGGAGCACCGTGAGCGGCTGCTCAATGCTGCCCACCAACTCCATGTGCTGGCCTGGGGGAGATGATGAGCCTGGCCTGTGTCCCTGGTATCACCTGCTGTTCCCATCCAAAGAAAGCCCTGGTGGGTCGCCAGGGCACAGCAAAGACTAGCATGGAGCCTTAGCTTGGGAGGGTCTCTGGGAGTCAGCAGGCCTGGGAAGGCCCCTAGGAGAGCCCTGGGGGAAGCAGGGCCCTTCAAGGGGTGCTGGGGTCTCAGGCAAGCAAGCCCCAGGGAAACCACCATAGCTGTGTCCAGGTGGCCTTTTACCCCTCCCCAGTTTGGGACCCCAGGACCCTCCCAACAAGCCTCAGTTATCCCCACAGTAAAAACCATGTCCTCCCAAGTCACTCTGGGTCTGGGTGTGTGCCTGGCATCTCTTGTCCTGCCTCTGCCAGTGTTGAGACTGTACCTGGGTTGGACCCTCTGCAGCCAAACCTGCTCCCGGCTGAGCAGCTCCTGCAGCCCCTCCAAGAGGCTCCCCGCCATGGGGCATCTCCAAGGCCTGTTCCTGGGCTGGCTCGCAGACAACCTGTCTCTCCTGTACTGGTAGCCCAAGGCTTGGACCCAGTGCTCAAAGGGTGGGCTCACCACTACTGAGTGGAGAGGAAAGAGCACACAACCCCGCTGCCACCTGCCTCCAAGTGCCACCCAGGAGAATGACGCTTTATCCTTTGCATCATGGTCACCTTAGTGGGCCCCAGCGTCCTTCAAAGCAAAAGGAATGAGCCTCCAGGGGGATGGTTCCCCAGGGTTAACAACCCTGAGGGGGTTGGGCCTGAGATGTGATGGGCCAACAGGGTAAAGCACATCTGGTGGGCCCAGGGTTAATCATCCCAAGGATGATGGGATCAAGGACAAATGGACCCGAAGGGTAAAAAACAATCAGCTGGTTGCCCCCCCCCACAAAGGTGATGGCCCCCAGGATTAATCCCCCCCAAGTGTGATAGGCCCCAGGGTTTACCACCTTGAGGGTGATAGATCTATGCTAAGAACAGGGCTGATAGCATAGGAATGCTTTAGTTAAAAACTCCTCATTCTTAGGGTTGGAACATGAATCTCTGTGACCAAAAAGCCCAAACAACCTTCCCCCTCCAAAAAAAAAAAAAAACAACCAACAAACCAACCAAACAAAAAACCCAGGAAAAAATTTAAATCCCAAACTGCAATTTCAAGGTCCAAAGGATTATTTTTCTGATTCGACCCCAAATTTTTCAAGTTCAAACCCTGTTTTATATAACTCATATTAAGTTATATAACTTATTTATATTCCTTCCAAAGTAAGGAAAATAGCATCACTTTTAAATCACTAAAGCCTACACTTGGGAGACCAAATAGTCAATTTAAGATACAAACCCACAATTTCATACTACAAAACCACATTTAGACATCACAAGATTTATGCTTTTAAAGTTCAAAGACTCGTTTAGAAAGTCCACAGCATCAGTTTGAAGGCCTCAGATTTGATCGGAAGATTCAATGCCTTATTTGTAGAGTCCAAAGGCTCATATTTGGCCCCAAACCAATTGGATATGTTCCAGATCCTCCCTCTCAGAGGAAGAGAATTCAGTCTGCAATTCAGCTGGCTCAAAGCCGCCTCTTAAGGCTCCACAGAGGCATTTCCTCATGCACTTACAAGTAAAGTAGGTCCTGAGCTTCTCTAGTGAGGGTCAGAGTGTTCATCTTTCCTTCTCTGTAATGGTGCAGGTGTCCCCTGTGTCACACTGGGAAGCAGGTCAAGCCCAACAGTCCAGCCGCTGTCCTACCTTCCAGCTGGGACATGTGAGATAGGGAGCAGCAGGTTTTAAGGGCTGCAGTTGGCTGGCTCCATCCAACAACAGCTCTTCCTTCATGAGGTGGGGACAATGCCAGCATTCTCATCTGCCCAGAGAAGTGGGGAGTCCCCATGGCCCTGGAGCAGGGTCTGCAGTTCCTCTTGCCTTCCTCAGAGAGCAAGAAACCATCCCAAAAGGCCCCACTGAGGGCCAAACAGGGCTTGTGCAAGGATGCTGGCATCTCTAGTATGTGGTACTGTACCTCTGGGCTGATCCCAGTTGCTGGAGACCCCTGGATGTCCTCAAACTGCCTCTGCTCTGACTCCAGCACTGCTTTTTCAGTGGGAGAAGAGGAAGAAGAGAACTTGGCATCTCCTCTCCAGAGTGCCATCACAAGTGCTCATAATGCCATCAGTGTCACTGGGTGCATGGACAGACCCCCAGACACATTCCTGCCTGAGAAGGGCTGCTGGGATTCCCAAAGGCAGTTTAAGAGTGTGCTGCGCTCCCCTCCCCCATTTCTTGTGAGGGCCAACCCCCTGGAATGTTCATGGGGGATCTGAAGTCCGGGGGCTGCCCCTCCAAACATTTCAGGAGGATAATTTGCAATTTGGGGGCATACTCCCAAATACTGGGATGCCTGGGGCCTCCTGAGGCCTCCCCCCCCGCTCCCAGTCTGGTTAACAAAAACTGGTTCAAGCTTCAGCTGCCTCCCCAACTCGTCTGTGCCCACCTCCAGCGCCCCCCGACGTGTCGTGTGCCCCATAGGTAGCGCAGTGTCTCCGGCCCAGCCTCACGGGCCCTCCTTTCGCAGGGCAGGAAAGGAGCGGAACCGGCGGTCTCAGGGGGAGGGGGCGGGGCCAGGCCGTGATCGCGGAGGGGGCGGGGCCTGCCGGACGTCACGGTCGAAGGGCTCCACAGGCAGGCGTCGCTCCTCCTCTTCTCCAGGAATGACTGACAGCCGCAATACCCAACGGCGCCGCGGAGGCGGGAGGCAGGCTCCACCTGATAGCCAATGGCAGCTAGAGGCTGGCGGGCAGCCAAGCGGCTAACGGCAGTAAGGTGACAGACGGCGCGAGCAGCCAATGGCGAGGCGGAGGCGGGCGCGGCCGACCAATGGCGCGGGGTGAGGGGGGCGGGGCTGCGGCCGAGGCGCGGCGGATCGCGGTGAGCGCTGGGCCGGCGGGCCGCGGGTCTGCGCGCCGGGCCCGGACCCTCCTGCAGTGCCGGCGCTGACACCGACGGGGCTGCTCCCGCTGTCTACCGCCTGAGCATACACCCGGGCCACCCCCACCCCGCTGCGCCCAGAACAGACCATCAGTTCCCCTTTCCTCGGTACAGGCCCCCGAAGCCCTGGCTCCCCCCTGCTCCCCAGGCAGCAGCCCCAGGCCCTAGGCTCTCCCCGCGCCCCTCTGTACTCTCTCCAGCCCTTCAAACTGCCTCCCACAACCCCCCCAGCAGAGCCCTAATCTCCAAATGCCCTGAGGTTCTCTGTGGTCACCTCCCTTGATGCTGTGACCTCGACGCCTTCTTCCCCCATCTGTTCCCCCGCCATCAGTCCCACTCCCGATCCCTCCCTGAACCCACCACCCCAGAATCCACCCCAACTCACCTGTCCCAAGCCCTCCAGTCTGGATCCCCTTTCCCGAGGGTGCCCTACCCGCCTTCTAGGAGTGCCCCCCCTACTCCTGGGGTGCCCCTGTCTCCCCATGGTGCCTTCTCCCCACAGACCCCCCTGCGCCATGGCAGAGCCGCGGTACCTGCAGGCCGATTGCAGTTTTCGGCCCGGGACACACACGGTGCGGGTGACCCTGGCTCGCACTGTGCTGCGGGTGGAGGTGGAGGCTCACGGCACCGCTGATCTGTGGAGGGGCGAGTTCGATGCCACTTGTGAGTGCCGGGGGGGGACCTGGGGGAGGACTGCGTGAATACCCCCACGACTGCCACTCACCGAAGTACTCCTTGCAGTCATCGAGAACATGACCCGCAAAACCGGGAATTTCAAGCAGTTCGGCATTTTCTGCAGCATGCTGGAGTCAGCACTGATGCAGGTGTGACAGCGCCGCTCCTCTACATGGCATTCTGGGGGGAAATGTGGTGGGGTATGTGTCCCACCGAGCCTCCCTCACTTTTCAAACCCTCTGCAGAGCAGTGAGTCCGTCAGCCTGGAGCTCCTCACCTACACCGACCTGGAGACCCTGCGTAGCCGGAAAGTGGGGGCAATCGCCCGGCCTCCCCCTTCCTCCTCTTCCCCCCTCAGTACCAGGCGCTACCTTATCCTCGTCTACTCTGTGGAGTTTGATAGGTGACAGGGAACACTGGGTAGGGGGCATGGAGGAGTGACACCAGCCTCACCCCCTCCACGTGCTCCTCCCCAGGATCCACTACCCACTGCCGCTGCCTTACGCTGGGCGGCAGGACCTTGCCACACTGGTGCGGGAGTTGCGGGAGGAGCTGGCACAGCTTCGGGCACGACGCCTGGAGGAGATCCAGCACCTGCGGGACGCGTGAGTGGGGCTGGCAGCGCTCAGAAGGGTTTGGGAGGGGTCAGTGCGAGGAAGGAGCGCCCAGACCACCCCCTGCCATCCTCCTCAGGCTGCGACGCACAGTGGAGGAGAAGCAGGTGGCAGAGGCCCGGCATCAGCGTGAGCACCGTCAGCTGGCTGCCCAGGTGGGCTGGGAGGGGATGGGGGCCTGCAAGTTGGGGACTGCTGGCAGCAGGAATGGGGTCTGCCAGATGCACAGTGAACCTTTTTCCCCACCTTGCAGCTGGCTGAGGCAAAGGCATCAGAGCAGAGGCTGCAGATGCGGGTGAAGAGCCTGACAGCCGAACTGGCCTCCTGCAGGAGGGGGTAAGGCGGGGGTGGGTTGTACAGGGGGTCTCATGACCATGGGGTGTCCCCCCCTCATGGCACTTGTCCTCTTGGCAGCCGCCGGACATCTGCCAGCACGGCCCCCTGCCCCCAGAAGCAACGCTCAGCATCCCTGGAGAGCCACAGGAGCAGCCTGGGCCGCCCCTCTCTGCGATCCCCATCACCTGCAGGTGTGGGACACTCAGGGGGACACATATAGGGGTGGAGACAGGATATGACTCAGTGCCTCCTCACCCTGACCCCCTCCTCCTCCTCACCCCCCACCAGGTTCCCGCCTGCCACGCTTCGACCCCACTGCCTTCGTCAGGGCCCGGCAGCGACGGCAGAAGGAGGCTGAGCTCAGAAAGTAAGCGGTGACAGTGAAATTGTCACCATTCCACTGTCCCATTCCTCCCCAGCACTTGGGGATCCCTACCTCCCATCACCATCTCTGTTGGGTGCAGCCAGCGGCACAGGGCAGCTTTTGGCAGCACCAGTCCGGTGAGGAGCCATGGGCGCAGCTCATCGGGTGAGTGGGGAGCATGAAGAGGGCTGGGGAGCACCCGCTCGGTGCTGGAGCATCTTTCTCAAGTTCACCCCTTACCTCCATTTCTCCCTGCAGCCACAAGCTTCCGGAGCTGGTGCTCAGCAGCGAGCTCTGGCAGCAAAGGCAGTGAGCGCCCCAAGGCCATGCCCCACAGGTAACACTGGCGTAGGTAAGGATGCTTGGTCCTCCCTCCTGGCACCTCTTAAACCCCCTTATCTTGGGCAGTGACAGGAGGGTGACCCATACCGAGAGACCTCTGAGCACCTCGTCCTTCAACGGCCCCTGTATGGTGAGTGGCTGCCCCTTTGGGGTTCCCCTACCCATTTGGGGCCCCCCTCTATGTCCTAAAGCAGGGTTAGCACGAGGAGTGGGGGGGACACACACCAGTGACCGCCAGTCTGTCCCACAGGCACCTCGCCTGGCTGCCAGCCACAAGCTGCCCACACGCAGTGCTACCAGCAAGTGCCCTGGTAAAGGTGAGGCCCCATCTAAGTCCCTGGATATTCGGGGTGCCCCCCAACCCAATTCAGGCCCTCATTAACCCATTTTCCCTGCACTGGCCTCCCAAGAGAACCACTCTGAAGAACCCTTGGCCGAGCTGGCTGAGATTGATGCCCGGCTGTGGGCACTGCAAGAGTACATGAGCAGCCTGGACACCTGCATGTGACTCCCCCCAGGGACTCCCCAGCCCCTCTGGGAACCCTCCCCCCTCCCTGTGTCATGGAGGTGACGGTGGTGTGGGGCAAGCATTCCCCCAAATAAACCCTTGTCTGGCCCTAGGCTTCCCCACTCCCTGTGTTGTGGAGGTGACGGTGGTGTGGAGCAAGCGTTCCCCCAAATAAACCCTTGTCTGGCTCTAGGGCATGTTCTTCTTGGGGTAGGGTGGGGCTTCTGTCCCCCCTCTTGCAGTCCTCTTGTCCTCACTCACTGTCCCCTCAATATCCTGCTGCTGGGGACATGGCAAGAGGGACACAATGTGTATGTCAGGGGGCGGGCACTGGGACATCACCAGAGGGTGACAGGGGGCATGGCAGATACATGCCCCAGGTCACCAGTCCTGTCCTCTGGGCTACCAGTGAATTCAAAGGTTACTGCAATATTACACCAGGACCCATGTCGCCCTACCTGCCCTCTGTCCCCTGTGTGTCCCTGTGTCCCCTTCTGCAATGTGCTGTCCCCATGGCACTGGCCAAGCTCCCTGCTGTGGCTCTGACACCACCATGGCTTTATTCAGTTCCGTGTCACACCAAATGGTGAGGTCAGCAGTGACTGGAGCCAGTGTGAGGCTGCAGTTCAGGGATGGTAATAGCTGGCCAGGCCAGTAGTGATCACGTCACCAGAGTGTAGAGATCCTGGGGTGGCAGGGTGGTGGCCTCTGTGCCAAAGCCACTGTTTGGTGTCACTGTGACTATGCTGGTGATGCCACTGAGGTGAGATCTTCAAGGTCAGTGTGAGGTGCTGCAGCGATGACTCGATGCCACCACAACCACGCCCTCGGTAGGACACGAGCGGTGACGCTGACAAGCATGATCCAAGCACTGGTGACGCCCTGAGGACAGCAGTGGTGCCGGCAGCTGCTCGTGGATGTCTGGCAGGCGTTGGTGCCGCCGCGGGTGACAGCCACAGTAGGGACGGCGAACGTGGTGTCTCGTGCCGGTGCCAGTCAGAGCTGCACGCGGATGTCGGGCAGGAGGCGACAGGCCGTGACGATGTCGATAGTGTCGGCCACAGCGCGCAGGTCGCGGCGGGCCAGGCGCAGGCAGTGAGCAGCGGCGGCGGCGGCCACCTGCGCCCGGCCCAGGGCCCCCTCCAGCCCCCCCAGGCTTCGGGCGGCGCTGCCGTAGCTCTGCCGCAGGGCGCTGCCCACCGCCCCCCGCAGCCGCCCCGTCCCCTCCCGCAGCCGCTGCTGCAGCAGCGAGGGGCTCCCCTGGCCGCCCCCCCAAACCACCGCCGGCTCCTCCGCCATCACTGGGGACGTCTTCGGTCCCTGCTCCTCCTCCTCCTCCTCCTCCTCTTCTTCCGTCTCGGAGGCTTCGCCCGGCACCTTCAGCCCGGCCCCGGGGGCTCCCCCCGCCGCCCCCACCAGCAGCTCCTGCTCCGAGTCACTCTCGGAGGCTTCGCCCGGCACCACCGTGGAGGGGCGGGGGGCGGCCATGGCCTGAGGTGCACGGGGGGATCAGGGCGTACCTCCGAAGGGGGGGGCGCTCCGGGCTTGGCCTGGGGAGTCCCTCCCCCACTCCTCCCCGAGTGCTCAGACCCCTGTAGACTCCCACGGCCCACTTAGTGATCCCAAATCTCCACATCCAGGACACCTCCGCGCCTCCCCCCCGCCCCGAGTCCTTCCCTTCCGATCCCACGGGAATCTCCCACCTGCTGCCCGCGACCGCCGCAGGTCACATGATGGGATGACCACGTGGTCCCTGCATCACGTGACCCGGGCAGCAGTAATCCGGAAGTGCCGTCCTTCGCCACGGCAGGCCGGATTCTGCCGGCGCGTGCGCCATGGCGTCAGTAAGTGAGCAGTGGAGGCGCTGCAGGCCCCGGTGTCCCGATCCTGCTCCGCGGGAACGGTGAGCGCGGGCAGGAGGCTTAATGGGACACCCGGGGGGCACCCTGTCCGGGGACAGCCAAGAGCAGGAGCTGGGCTGGCACCGGGGCGGTACCGGACCCAAAACCCCCAAAGCCCCTCCCACCGGGCCCCGCCCTTCGCCCCGCCCGCCGCCCGTTTTACCATAGTACTACCCGCGCCCATTGGCTGCCCGCTATGGCGGGGCGGGCCCAGCGTGCCGATTGTCCGCGCTGGGGGGCCGGCCCCTCCTCCCTGGGCTGGGCCCGCCCCTCGGCCCCCAGAGGGCAGCGGTGACCTTGGGTTGGGGTGTGCTGTGACCGCGTTCTCCCTGAACTGTGGAAGAGTGAACTTGCAGCTGTTTAAAGAATTAAAGGATCCCATGAGAAACTGTCCTTAAGGAGACAGGCTGGCAGCTGGCAGCTCTTTGAGGCTGCGTTTTTTGAGTGCGAGAGCTCTCCATCCCCAAGTGTAAGCAATCGAGCAGGGCAGGCAGGAGGTAGCCTGAGAAAGCATAGGGATATTGTTTGGATAGGTAGGGATGGGATCAGGAAAACCAAGGTGCAGATGCAACGGGACTCATGGCAGTCCAGCACGGCTTCACTGAGGGCAAGGGGTGCGTGACCAGTCTGGTGGCCTTCCGTGATGAGGAAGGCTGACCAGCATCACCCTGGACTGGATTGGATGGGTGTGCTGTAAGGTCTTGGGCATGGTCCCTCATGGCATCCTCATCTCCAGACTGGGGAGCTGGGAGGAGCTATAGGAACCCATTGGGGCTGGGGGGATCTATGGTGGCTGTAGGGCACAGAAGTTGCAGTGATCTATGGGGGTATGGGGCTTTGAGGGGGGTGTAGAGGCCCCTCATGTCTATTAATATCTATTAATATCTGTTAATATCTATTAATATCTATTATTATCTATTAGGCACAGGGGGTGTGGCCATTCCCAAGTGGATGTCACTGCTGATGGGAAAGGTGAGGTCAGCTGGACTTTGGCGGCGCAGGGGAGGACACAAAGAGTGGGACTCTGAGGGGCCCAGGTGGGTGCCTGGAGCTGCTCCCTAGAAGCCTCTGTGGTGCCAAACTGCCGTTCCCCTCTCCTGTTTTTAGGCTCAGCTCCACTAGTGTGTGGACCAGTGAGTGTCAAGGGCTTTTTAAGTGAGGTGGGGGCCCAGTGCCTGGTCCAGAATTGGGACCAGAATCATGACTAAGGTGATGACCATGACCAGAACCAGGAGAGTCACCACAACTGCACCTTCAGCAGGACACTGTGGTGATGGTGGTGGTGGTGACCACCTCTCCATGGCACTGGTGACACCCTGAGGACAGTGGTGCTGCTGACAGGTGTTAGTGCCACGGCTGGTGACATCCACAGTGAGGATGTGAACATGGTGCACATCCCGGTGACTGCAGCAGTGAGGGGCCCACCTGGCCCCTCCCCCAACCTGCCACTGGGGGGTCTTTGGCTTTTGCCCCCCATGACACTATCACAGGTGGGAGTAGAAGGCTTAGACAAAATTTATTAGAAGAATCCCTGCTGCTGAGTCATGAGGTGCAGAAAGGGCTCCCTTGCTTTCTAAACTCAGAGAGAAGTTTGGGTGCGTCTGAATCCAATCTTAGCCTCAGATTATGTCAGTAGTTTAAGGAATTATAGAGGTGTGTTTGAACAACTTTTGTCCTCAGGTTTTAATGACTGGCAAAATGAGAATATTTATATAAAATGAATAATTTATCATTACAAATGATCAGACAAAAGATCTTAACCAGAATTATTTACAACACAATATAAATGCTAAAACTACTAGTAGTATGGTATAAGATAGGATAGTGCACTATATTGAAGCATTATTAAATTAATTAAATATAAAAGCAAATATATTAAAGCTAGCAAAAAGAAGTTAATTAGAGATTTGATGTAACTCACCCATATCAACCCTCGTGGGGAGATCTCTTTCACTCAACTTTGAGGAATATCCTTGGAGGATGTCTCCACCCAAGGGAGGAGTCTCTACACATACACCCAAAAAAGGGCTATGTTAGAAAACCTGACTGCGTGCAAGGGGTCTGGACTTCTTCTGTAGTAGAAACTGATTGACTGTAAATCACAAATTTACAGGCCAGCTACCAGCTTATCTGCAACATCCAACTTCAAAAAGCAGGATGTGTGTTTGGAGTTGGTGAACCAGGCTTGTTTTGGCATAATTCAACACCAAAAAATGTTACTGTGGCACCAGCAGTAACTCATCATAAACAGCTTGCATTGCTTGCATTCTTTGATTGGATTCTAGGCCTTACTGGGGTAGGCCCCCTGCCACAAACCCCCATGGTGGTGGGGAGGGGCTCTATTTTGCTTAGCCCTGAGGGCCTATGGAGTATTTGCCCTCCAGCTCTGTGCTCATTCCCCCAGAGGTCTCCCAAACCTCACTGTCAGGGGGAGCTCTGTCTCTGATGTCCAGGCTCTGCATGTTCCCACCCTGCCCTGGGGACATGGTGAGCTCTGGGTGCTGGTTTAATGGTGTCCCATAGGCCGATGATGGCACTTCTCATGGCCAGTGGGGACAAGCCTTGGGTGGCCACTCCACAGAGGCATCCCTGACCCTGTCCCCATCCCTGTGCCCAGAGCCACTGAGTCCTTGTTCCCATTCCCACCCTCATCCATGTGCCTAGTGCTCAAAGATGATGGTAGGTGCCGGGGGTGGCTCAGCCTTGGATATAGTCCAGGGCACTATCCCTGGTCACCCCCAGCTGCTCCACAGTGGTGGGTGACAGCTGGTGGCCATAGTCCCAGATGTGGTTGTTGTCTCCCCAGATGTTGAAGTTATGGCTCAGTGGCTGAATCTCCAGCTGGGCAGCCCTGGTGTCACTACAGGGGTACTGCGGCCCCAACCCCTCACCACAGAGAGGGGGGACACCCCCACCACCCCAGGGACACTCTCTCTGGGAATGTCCCCCACTTGGGAACATGTGCCTCTCCTAGGGACACCTCTGCTGGGAACAGCAGGGTCTAGACCAGAACTGTGTTTAGGACCAGGACCAAGGTGGTGAAAATGTTCAGAACCAGGACTTGGAACAGGGCCAGAATCACAACCATCCGGATGAAGAGTGGTTGTGAACCAGGACCATCTTGAGGGGCTGCCTGTGCTGGAAGGACATGGTTGCCAGTGATGTGCTGCTCCTCAGGGCCCAGCATCCACACTGCTGAGTGTTGTGCACTGGCTCAACCTGGTGCAGGCAGGTGTTGATGTGCATGTCCCCACAGCTGCTGCTGCACAGGTTGATGTTGCACCTGCAACCAGGGACACCTATCTGGCACCCAGCCCTGGACTCCCAGGGACCCCAAATCCCAGCGCATTTTGACTGAATGTATTCTTTCCAAACTCCACACTTATCTTCCCTCTGATTTAATTGATTACTCTCAGTACAAACTGTATTCAACTGTGGTTCATACCTGATTAATTATTTCATTGGGTAACAATCGTGTCATTTTGAAATAAATAGATAAAATTGTTAAAAGTTTTTTGAGCAGTGAAATCTCTAAAGCACCATCAGAGACCTCCTGACTGATGTCCGTACTTTCTGTTTTTCTTAAAAGTCTCCAGCAGCAAGAGTTAAAAATGGTGGCTTGTTCTGAAAACTGAACTTACTTTTCAGAAGATTTTTCAGGGAGGATATGCTGAGACCAACAGGTACTTTTACGCAGCATGAGACCATCTGTGAAGGTAAACAGTCTGCCTCTTGCCATCCATAAACCATACGGTGGTTAAAAAACCAGACCAGCACTGACTTCTAAGCTCATGTATTGCATATAAGCCTCACATATTCTGGTTTTTTTGTATTGTATTTGCTCATGTATTTGCTATAGTGTGGAACTGAATTAAACAGTCCCTAGGTATAGTGTTGAAAACACAAGGTTACGTATGTCCAGTCTGGAGCACAGTAGGAAGACTGTCTCCTGGTCTTCTAGCCAAGATAGAAAAGGTTGGAAAAGGCATGGAAGAGAAAGGAAGAGAAGGCTAAGGTAATCTTTTTTACATAGAATTTGGGAGTGAGGGGAAAAAAATAAAGGGAGAGGCACCAAGCACTGAAATCCTTGAAGGAATGGAGATTTGGCTATATAATGGAACAACATTGTACTGGCCAATTACAGGTTTTCCATAGGCATTTGTAAGTTATGAGGGAGACCAGAATTTGAAAGCCATGAAACATTTTTAAAGTTTCTCACTGATCATAGTAGACCAAAAATGTAATCTGACTGGCCATGATAAGCTATGCACAGTGAGAACTGATCTCTTTCCTTAAATCCATAAGAGGGTGTCTGTGGGCAAAAAATCCTTCAGGAGCACTGTAAGGCACTAGATATTATAGCTGGCCAAAGTGTGTACATGGAACCATGGCAGTGTCTGCACCAGTTCCTGGACAAGGATGCTGTCTGCTCTCATCAGAGTGTGAAAAACATTCTCTTGCTCTAGTGCGCAGACTGTCTGCAGGTACGATATGAAGCTACTTCTGCTCAACTGTAAGCAAGGCAGAGGAATTAAGGCCAAAGTGCAATGACTGTTTTCAAGGAGCATGTAAGATAACTGATATGCAATTGTTATAAATGGGATAACTGCTGGGTAATTTGGAGATGGAGAGTCTTGGTAGGGCACTGACTAATCATGTCAGTAACACTTAATCAGGCTGGGATTGCCTGGTGACCAGATTGGAACCACATAATTTAAGTATGGATGTTGCCAAACGGGGACCAATGGGCAAAAAGCAATTCCGAGTTGATTGTTTCTTTGGAAGGAGTTTGAGAAGAAAAAGAGCAATAAAATAGCTACAAAAAGCTATTCAGAAGTAGAAAAAAACAGTGAATGAAATTGGGTACAAAGAAAGTATAAGATCTTCTCTCAGTAGGGGTGCAGATGCCTGTGGATTTTAAGGAAGCTGACAGCACATCGAAGCCCACCAGGAAGCTGGAGGGAAACCTGTTGGTCAACCCAATAGAGTCTCCCGGTGGAGAATAGAGGGGTGTTTGACTATGTGCTTGTATGTCTCTATTACTGAGAAGAATACCAAGCTTCCTTGTAGTTGGTCAAGATGCTTATCTTTTGGAGTATGTAGGAGGAACCATGCCTACATACTGTGGCACAACACTACTGTACATGTGTGAGAAGAGAACATCAAATAAATAATTGCATGGACTGAGGAATTGCAGTGCATGGACTGACTTGCGCAGGCAGCATGTTTGACTTGAACTAGATGTTCTGCTGTTGACACTGTATTTCTGATTTTAAAGTGTCTGGCTCTTGCACTGTGATCACAGTACTTTTCAAAGAGCAGGTTTTTAATAAAAAAATTTTAATATTAGTTTTTTATGCTGAGAATGGAAATTATGTTCCTGATGCTCCCAGGACCAAACATGGTGCTGACTGCTTTTTCAAGCAAGAATTTCTGTGGTTTTCAGTGCTTGAAAATATGCATGGTAGTATTATAAGATGGGCTAATCTTGCAAGTCAACAACAGGTCTCTGAGGAGAGCATAATTCAAAAATGGTTTTGACATAGGTATGAAGGCAGGAATTCTAGCAAATACCAAAAGTATCTTAAAGTAGAAGCTGTCCTGTCAGTATGTTCAGTGATCTCAAAGCTATTAAAAGAAAATACAAGGAGAATCAATGCAATGAGAATGAAAGAATAATGAAACAAGGGTTGAGGGGGGACAAAAAGGGTAAATTTCACCTACAGTGTCACTTAGATGAAATGAATGGGGAATACAGGGCTCACTACAACCTACATGTCCCCTTATCCGGAACAGAATAAGCACATAATTAAAACACTTGGCCTGACTAGTGTTAAAAATGTCTCTGTCTTTCAGTGTTAGAGACATATACCCTCCCAAAGTATATGAAAATCCATATGTCTTTCCATTTCTACTCAAAGAAAGAAATTGTAGATGTTGCACTGATTAAACCTTGCTGTGGACAAGAATATGCCCATGTTTAGGGAGTTCACAGCCCCCAAAAATGATAACTGTAAAGATGGAATCATCTTTCTGGGACAGACATGGATTTGAAATCTTGGTTTCTTATTCCTGGATGAATGCTAGCTGCCAGTGTCCCTAATCATTACTTTCTCTATAGTGAGTTAAACTCTTCCTCCAAAAAAATAACAAAAGCACAAACAAAACACTGAAGAATATCCACTGAATGCTTTGTCCAGCACTTCTGAACAATGTGAAATAGTAATGCAGAAAATGCAGATGTTTTTGTAAGTGCATGCTGATGCTTTCAGGCAGTGACCTGGGTTGAGCACTTCAGGGAAACAAGCTCTAGATCTTCAGATTTGGACACTGTTCATCTCTGGCATCATCTGGGACAGTTCTTGGAGCTCAGGATATAGAGACTTTCAGAATCAGATGAGGGAGAGAGAAAGCCTCACTTTTGTTCAAGTTTCCTTGTAGGTAACTTAGCCTTTAAATGGGAACTGCCCTCTAGAAGAGTTTTTAGTTATTCCTGTTGCCCTGGTGTTCCCAACCATGCTCTGAAGATGGCAGTGCATAATACATTTCTCTGGTACTTCAACAGAGTAAGATTCCTGTCCTTGGGAAGATTTGGGTGTTTTGGTTATTGCAGTCACTGTATTGGAACTCATATAAGTATCTTTAGTGTGTGCTTTTTTTTTTTTTTTTTTTTTTTAAATGTTTTACCTTCCCAGAAAAAAGTATTTCCAGAACCCTGAATGAATTAATCAAACAACACATCGTGTTCCCTTAAAGGAACAAACTAGCTCAGTTGTTGATAGGGAACTGCACATTTGTTTATTAAAAGCTGATGCTTTAAAAGTAAGAGAAGATAGCTGGAGCTTTAAGAATGATGGAAAATTAGATGTCCTTGCTGTCGCTGCAGGTGGCTTGGCACAACTTCTCAGCTCATTTGAGTTAATGTTTTTACATTTTCTTGTAGAAACTGATGTACATTACAGGACACCATGACCATTTTTTATTGGAAAACAGGTTTTTATTCATATCTGTCATTCATGATGGAGTTTTTCTAGAAAAAAATGCATGCCATGTTTCAAGCGTTGGCACACTATACAATTCTGTGGTTTGGAAATCTTAAACATTAAATCATGAGTTCTTTGGCAGGCAACATCAGCTTTCACAGACAAGAATACACATCTTGCTTCCTGAAATCATTAGCTTCTAGAGCAAGTTAGGTTCACAAATTATGTCTCAAAGTCCCCTCCTACATCCTCTTAAATAACCTTCTACCCATTCCCACTCATCAAAAACAAGCACTGTCCTGGTACCCGCAGACCTAACCACAAAGTCTTTGTTCTTTGTTAGAACACTCCAACATCAATGACTCATCATTTATAGAATTGCATTCTCTCACTGGAGATGAAAATTAGCGTTTAGATGACCAGGTACACAGCACAAACAGAAGTGTGAATCTGGTTGTCAGAACTGCAGTTTTAAGACAGTGAAATAATTTTTTGAAAAAACAAAACAGGGATGATTTATGGTTCTCCCTAGAACCTCAAAGGTAAACCCATAAGTGTGATTGTCAGGTTAACAATCACAGCTACTCTGCCCTTCTGTAACCGTCCCTGGAGTCCAGGTCTGAGATCATCAGCACAAGAAGGATGTGGCCCTGTTGAAGTCCAGAGGAGGCCACACCGTTGTTCTGAGGACTGGAACACCTCTGCTCTGAAAATAGGATGAGTGTTCAGCCTCCAGAAGAGAGGGCTCTGGGGACACCCTATTGCGGCCTTCTGGTATGTGAAGGGGCAGAGGGGGAACAACTTTTTAAATGTGCAGATAATGATAGGACAAGGGGCTTCAGTTTTAAACTAAAAGAGGAGAGATTTAGACTAGGTGTGAGGAGCAAGTTCTTTACTCAGAGGGTGGTGAGGCACTGGCACAGGTTGCCCAAAGAGGTTGTGGCTGCTCCATCCCTAGAAGTGTTCAAGGCTTGGAAACTTGAACGTGTATGGGCTTGAATGGAATTTGGAGCAACCTGGTCTAGTGGAAGGTGTCCTTGCCCATGGCAGGGGAGTGGAGCAAGAAGCGCTTTAAATTCCCTTCCCATATAAATCATTCTGTGATTCTATGAACAGATAATGTCTCTCTGCAGAAATGCAAAAGTTAAATCACCTACCTAGAGTTGGTATGGTCCTGAAACTGCTGGGAAAGAGGCGGATCTGTCTAGCAGATACCAGAGTGGAAAGCAGCCTGTAGCCCCTGGCAGCACAGGATGCCAACCTCGTCTTTTTTCCAGCATTCATCTGCTTTCCAGCATTCATCTGCCTGCAACAGCTCTGTATGATGCACTGTCTCCCAAGTCAGCTTGCTCAAAGACCTTTTCCTGACACATTCATACATTATTCATATTGCTGAACTATGGTTATTGCAAGTGGCAACTTCTTTATGGTACCTTTTCCTTGGTTTTGAAGACCTATTGTTATGGATTTTACACAAAGGTTTGATGTCTAAAGTTAATTGAAGGCCAATCACAAGAAATTAAAACATTATTATTAACAACAAAAAGCAAGGCAGAAGGAGAGGTTGTTCTTTATCCAGTTGAATTGATACTGTAATAAGAGTTTTAATATCACTGCCTAAGCTGCTGGACCAGATAGGTCAGGCATTTGGATCACACTGGATGCTATATTTACTCTGGCTGTGCCTCTCTCACAGGGCTGTATATAGCCATTCTCATTCAGGGCAAGCAGCCTCAACAAATCAATGCTCTATGAAATTGCTAAAGGATCTTAATTAAACCTGTAATACAAAGGTTTACAAAAATACAGTAGAATACTTTATCTGTTATCTGGAGTCTTCATAGCCATAGTAAGTGATTATATTTTCTATATCTTTTAGAACAGCAAAGACTTCTATTGTGAGTTTTATCCTGAAATTTGGATTAAAAGCTTTTTCTCTGTCTTCTAATAATAGCAACATAATGAAAAGTTTGTAATTAAAAGTTCAGTGTTATTTTTTAACCTATGTTTTGCCTTAAGGCATAATATAATGTTCACATATATGTACATACAAAGATGACAAAAACAGAAAAAGAAACAATATTACCCTGTCTATTAAATAATAATACTATTCATTGATTGGAAAACAACCTACTGCTTCAAGCCTTTGGTGTTCTGATCACTGTATTTTCTATATATGAAAACATTGGGGTTTTAGATAAGAATATTTGAAAAATAATGAATGTGTATTATGATTACTGTACTCTCATATGGTCTTTTGTTTCCCACAGAGATGGGTATTCTTGCTGTATTTGCTCTACCATTGCTTCTCTTAGGGATCAGTGGAATTATTTATATTTACCAGTCAGTCAGGTGGCTTTTGTCCAAGTCAGCGGTGCAAAACAAGGTGGTGGTGATTACGGATGCCATTTCTGGACTAGGCAAGGGTGAGTTGTCTCATTTCTTTTCAGAGAGCAGAAGTAGCCAGAAAAACACCCTGGGTGATATAACATGCACACATTACCTTGTATATATTCATAACTGACTGAATGAAGGAGAAATTAGGAAATATATTTATGAAAAAACACTATGATTTTTAAATTTATATTTTTAGGCTCAGCCACAGGAACTGTTGATAAACTTCTAGGAACTGCAGAGCTTTGTATTTATTTAATTCAATAGAATGAGAGGTTTTATAAGCACACTGAGTGCTATTTTTAGCATGTTGCTGCTATGAGATCTTATTACATAGGTTGTCACAGCAGAGTAGTGGCAAATCATATAAACAGGTGTCATTTTACTCTTCACATGTTTCTTTTCAGCCCTAAAGACTTCAAAATTTCTTGCTCCCTGTAAACAGCAGTGCTTACCCCTCTGTTGCTGTTTGTATCTCTGCCCCCTCTATCACCCATGTTACTCCTCTTTCCTTGACATCGTCCAGTACTTCCAACTGGGCAGCCTGGTTATGTGTAATTGTGAATTCAGAGAACAGAAGGAAAGGGAATGAGATAGTTTTTCTGTTTAAATGGCTCAATGCCTGGGTGGCTCTGGCAAGACCTTTGAGTCCCTTCTGGTGTCTAATGGGACTCCCAAGAGATCTGGAGAGGGACTTTGGACAAGAGCCTGCAGTGACAGGACAGGTGAAAATGGCTTTCCACTGACAGAGAGCAGGATTAGATGGGATATTGGGAAGAAATCCTTCCCTGTGAGGGTTGGTGAGGCCCTGGCCCAGATTGCCCAGAGAAGCTGTGGCTGCCCCATCCCTGGAAGTGCCAAAGCCAGCTTGGACAGGGCTTGGAGCAACCTGGGCTAGTGGAAGGTGTCCCTGCCCATGGCAGGGGATTGAAACTGTTTGGTCTTTAAGATCCTTTCCAACCCATATGAGTCTATGATATACTTCTTGGCTTCTGTTTCCTGCCTACATGATGCTGTTGATTAAAAGTACCAAGTCATATATTGCTTATGTGCAGTCCTGCTCTAGGCTCCACTTGAGGGGCAGCAGATTCAAGTGCCTGATAAGGCAAACATATTTTGGTGTTTTTAATGAAGACTTACTGTCTGTTAAAACCTTTGCACTCCCAAGCAGAGAATAGATGGGGAAAAGGAATGCTCCTGCAGAATTAGTCCTTAGCAGAACAGAGCAGAGATCTGCAACGGAGGCTGTTAGGACAAGGTATGAAATAATTCTGGCCTCCTCGTCCTACCTGGTCATTCCCTTTACCTGATACATTTCAGGTTCAGTTGAAGATAATATTAATGTGCATTTTCTCAGGTTGATTATTGCTGTGGTTTAGGAATGGTATTTCCCAATTTGGTGTTCACTGAAACACCACATGCTGCTTGCTCACTCCCTCCATCCCCCTGCGGAGGGGAATGAAGAGGAGACACAAAAGGCAGAGATCATGGGTTGAAATAAGAACAATTTACTGCAAACACCAATGAGATATGAAAATGAACATCAACAATACCAATGACAGAGGGTACAAGGTAGGCAAATGATTCACACCAATGACTCACCATGTAGAACCGATGCCACCTGACTGCTCAGTCAGCAAACCGGAAAGATGCGCCTGCCCTGTGCAGGGCTGGGGTGGGATCAAACAACCCCAGGGTCCTGCTGTGCATCTCCTGGCTGCTGCAAAAGTTACCACCACTCTGGCAGGAACCAGGACATTTATATTTCAATATTCTTGCTGGAGAGGCATGATTCAGAGAACTTCCGTTGAGATTGGGTGTGTTGTAGAATTATAGGATGTCTAGGTTTCTAGATAAAAATCTCACTTGGAGCAGAAATATCACCGGTGCTAGATCTGTTTGGGTGTGGCTTCAAGACAAATCTTGGAACCTTCCAAGAATAAAGAACCTTTTTTGCACATTTCTCCAGCTGTCTTGCTTTTTTTTTTTTTTACAGGCTTGAATGAATAATGCAAAATTTACTGTGCAGTCCATCATGCATATGTGATGGCCATTTGTCCAGGGCTTTACTGGCTGTGTGGCCAGTAGCTCTGTATGTGAGCTCTTAAGAAACATCCACATTCTTTTTCCTACATGCCAGAATTTCTGAAATAAAGACAACATTCATCAAAGTTAAAAAACAAACCCAAACTATGATGATCAAAGATGTTTTGAATGGTTTATGGCTATTATTGAAACTTAATTCCTGTTTCTTCTGATTGCTGTAACTCAGAAAAGTCCAGGAAGCTTCTAGAGGAGGACATCATTAGTTTCCCTTTTTCACCTTTATTGCTGTTCACACAGTACTCTTTTTTGCATTTTTTCACAATATTGACCCAACTACTGTTTATAGGCAAAATAATGGTATAGTTGTACTGACAAATAATCTTTTGGGCTTTAAATCAAAACTTTTTCTGCACTAGAAAAGAAAGAAAATAAAAGACATTTGTAAAATTACTGTTGTAAATAATGAAAAAGATTGCTTAAATAAAAGCCTCCAGCTGCACAGCTTTGCAAAAATACAAGATTGATCCATAAACACTTCCATACAGATATTAAGAGTCTAACATGAGCGTTTAAGAAATCTTAATTGGTAGATAAGCATAACTGGACTTCCTGTGAATATTGAAATATGAAGAAAATGCTTCTTGGAGGACAGCAAACCATAGCACTGGGGTTGTTCTGTTGTCAACAAAGGCCATATGAGCTGAGACAAAACAAATAGCCTGAAAGGCATCGTAAGACCATATTCATTTTCTTCCAATGCTACGTAGCTATCTTACAGATTTGGAGACCAAACATGAGAGCTCCAAGGCTGAGAGCTTTTTGGAAGACCTAATCAGGAAAAATAACTCTTGATTTTCAATCATAAAATACACATAATCCATTGTCAGCTAACTCTCTGGCTGCATGCAAAGCAGACCTCTGCTTTGGGGCACCTTGGACACATCATCAGCTGTATCCCCAGGCCTATTTGTGGAACGTTATGTATTCTGAGAAATAAAAGGCAGGCAAATGTGTACTTTTCTTGGCGAGGAGGACAGCCTTGATGGATTCCTGGACTGTTTCCGTGCAGCTGTGTCACTGTAGCAGCCTACAGCTGCCCGAGGGATACAACTAACAATGAATTCCTCAAAGTTTCCCATGAGGTATCTATGCTCCACATTTTTAAATGCCTGGTTTTGGTCAAACTGACAGGATGGTGAGGAATGTATTCTCCCTCAAGACCACCAAGAGAAGAAAATAGACCAGACAGAAGTTGTTAAAGTGCTCCAGCCTTGTATTTCATAATTTGACTTGAACTGGTCATACACCCCCATGAAGACCTGCACTAATGAGTTGGCTGCAGTCTTGTGCTGAGAGAGGATGATGGGTAACACTGACTGCCAGTTCCATTTGTTATGAGAGTCCCCACTTTCACAACACCACAGTCGTAGTTCACTTGTATGAAAAAGGGATAAGAATCTTCCCCAGAGACCTAGCTTGGGGTAAATCCCTAGCTCAGAATGTGTCTGAATGAAGAAAATGCAGTGCCAGCCACAGCGTTCCCAGAAACTTTCCAGTTCCCTTTTTAGGAAGGATGTGGGGAATGCAGCTTGAGAAAGCTGATGCCTGATGCCTCTGCTGATTACTGAGAAGGTTTAGTACTCAGGAGATAAAGCTCTTGGGGTAGGTTATATCTGGAGGGAAGGGTCTGTAGGAGAAAGGGGTGTTCCACCTGTGCACCAATGGGTGGTGAGTTAATCTGTACTGCTCTTTATCAAACTTGTAGATGAGCTCCATGTTGCCAAGAGTTTTGTGAGGGTAATACAGAGCTAGCGTTACTGTTTATTGAGGTTTGTTCGCTTCTTTATAGTGCATCACACATGAAGGTTTGCGAAAGATGCAGTTTGCATTGTAACAACCTTGGGTGGTTTTGTATGCAGTTTTATTTATAGCAAAAGTCTGTGAAATATATTCAGAAAATTTTTTCCAACTCAAATGCATTATTCATTAACTGACATATTGTTCTTTTCTCGATTACTTTGTTATTAAATCCCATTACTAAACAGTGCCATTGTGCTGTACCATTAATTGTGCATTATAAGACTACACTGAATTAGAATTTATTATTCACATATTAAATTTCAGTGCTTTCTTCTTTTTTATACAAATATATTCTCTCAAAATTAATTAATTTTAAAGCATGGATTCAACATCATTAGCAAAAACAGCATCCCATTTCAAGCAAAATAAACAAAATCAAATTGTCATTATTGTAATTATTTCTTTTGAATGTATTTCTCTCCTAGAATGTTCTCGTGTGTTTCACTCAGGAGGAGCAAGGCTTGTGTTGTGTGGCAGGACATGGGAAAAGTTAGAAGCCTTGTATGATGCCTTAATTAGCGTGACAGACCCAAGCATGGTATGTATTCATAGCCTGAGGTAAAGACCTTGTTCAGGTACACAGTGTGCTTTTAGACCATACAAAACAAGGTACAAGAAGCATGATTCACTGTTAATGGTGACTTTGGTCACCCAGGTAATACACCAAACAGAGCCCAGAGAGACAGAGAAAGAAACACCTCAAGGTCTTCAGAGCACAATGTCAAAATCCTTGAGCTAATCCAAAGCAATTCCTGTAAATCATCTGAGCACTCCTGCATTCTGAATAAACCACCCAGACAGAAATCTTCAGCAGAGAAATTAGCCTGATAATTTGAGTGAAAGGGATCCAAGTGCTTCATTTGTATAGGAAATGTCATTAAATTTTCCTGTAATTCATGTGCTCAAGGACTGGGAGACAGGTCTAAAGATCAAAATAATTTTTAGTTTCTCCCCCTCTTTGGAAGAAATCACAGCTAGAACACTTCCAGGAATGGGACAGCCACAGCTTCTCTGGGCAACCTGTGCCAGGGCCACGACACTCTCACAGGGAGGAATTTCTTCCCAGTATCCCACCTAATCCTGCCCTCTGGCAGTGGGAAGCCATTTTCGCCTGTCCTGTCACTGCAGGCTCTTGTCCAAAGTCCCTCTCCAGATCTCTCTTGGAGCTCCATTAGGCACTGGAAGGGGCTTGAAGGTCTTGCCAGAGCTTTCTCCAGGCTGAGCAATGCCAGCTCTCATTGCTGAACTACCTTCTTTCTAGAGGGGGTTAGAAAAAACCCCTAAGTTTATGTGAGAATAATAAAAACACTTTATTCAAATGTCAAGATAAATTAAATTTACAAGACAAGTAAATAGAAATAAATTTTTTAGATAACAATTATCATTGCTATGAGTCTTTTCTTTATTAGACATATGCGCCAAAGCTCATACTTCTGGATATCTCAGACATAAACTGCATTCGAGATGTAGCCAAGGAAATCCTGAATTGCTATGGCTGTGTGGATATACTAATCAACAATGCAAGTATGAAGGTGAAAGGAGCAGTGCAGAGCATTTCACTGGAACTTGATAAAAAGATAATGGATGCCAACTATTTTGGACCTATAACATTAACCAAAGGTAGTTGTGATATCTACAATTCAGCTGTCACTCCTTTCACTAAATACACTAAACTGTTTTACTTATGCAGTTTTTCTTGTATTTCTCTTTTTGCAGCCATTCTTCCCAACATGATCTCAAGAAGAACTGGCCAAATTGTTCTCATTAATAGCATTCAAGGGAAAATAGGAATCCCATTTCGTGCAGCCTGTAAGTTATGCATAGCAAAAACATTGTAATGCATAGGTTGTGAGTAGTCCATGATACTGATAACAGGTTATCAAAAGTGCTAATTTGCACCCTAATTCAGTAGCCTACTAATACAATATTTGGCTGAAATTTTTTTGAAGAAGTGAAAGTCAGCAACAAATAGTTAAAATAATACCTTTGAAATGTAGCTACTGCCTAAAGTACTTGAGGATAAAAGGATATCAAATGTGACAGAAATTTTTTTTAAATATAATATATATATAAATATATATTGCATAGATAGAATATATATCTACATCTATATTTGGTCATATTGGTAGAAGCCATCATGAAGTGCAGTGTATAAATATAAAATATGGGTAGATACAAGCTGCTGCTCTGCAAAGGAAGCCTCATGCTTTTAATGTATTTATGCGTGGGAGTTTAAAAGGAGACGTAGTAATTGTATTCTGCTTGAATTTCTAGAAATTTTTCAAGGTGGTCTTTCATCCAAAGCTCTAAGGAAAATAGGCTGTCCTGAATTATGATGAAAGGTCTTTGCATGAATAAAATAAAAAGTTAGTGGGCAGAAAATATAGGGTAGATATAAATAGACATTTTAAACTTGGGATGGATGTAAATAGAAATTTTTAACTTGACAAGAGGTCAGAGTGAATGATGAACTCTGAATTAAAAGGTCTGCAAGACCTCAAGATTGTGACCTTTTGTTCCATGAAAGCAAATTACAGTGATAGAAACTGTAAGGAAAGCAGTAGACAAAATAAAGTAAAACCCATCTTTATGGCTTTGTACATTTATGCATAAATCTGTGCAATGCCCATATCTTGAACATTGTGTGCAGTTTTGGTGTCCCATCTCAGAAAAAGTATAAAGAGTACAAAAAAGACTCAAAAAAGAAACAACACATTGATGTGACATCTGGAATGGTTTCCATCTAGGATACAGATAACTGTGTCAAGATACGCTATTTGTATATAAAACCATGAGAAGCAGAAGAACCATCAGAGAGAGTTTTTACAATGCCCCTACTAATATTATCTTGCATGAAATGAAGCTGCCAGAAGAAAGAATGTCGAAATAAATTAATGGAGAAGCATCTCTCCATTCCCAGAGCCCCTCTGCCATTGCTTAGATTATATTATGCACAGGTGGATTTTCATTGTAAATTGAGTCAAAAAACAGGTGAATGCAGCTCTGCTGCACTGAACACAGAGTTCCGTTTGTTGGTCAAGGTTCATATACTGTCATCTTGCTTTAATACCATCCTCAATAAAAAGGCACTAAAAGCAGATTTTAAAAGTCTTGACATTCAGTTACTTTCACTTTAATGTTAAAAGTAGCTTGGATTGCTGCTGCAGGGCAAAGTCCCAGTTAGTGTACAAAACAATTAGTTAGTACTCCTGCATTCCAGCAATGCACATGTATTTAACTGCATTTTATGGATGTGTTAAAAACTGCAGAAACAGAGTGTGTAGGGACTCATCTCAGGGACAGCTCCATTCACCAAACACATTTTTGAACTTTAAAGATGCTATAAGTATTATTCTCTAACACAGGATTTTTCCAAATCCAGGACTATTTCTGACCGGGAAATGCTGGACATGTCCAGGAGACTGCCTGTATACCTCATGCACAATTGTCCTATATAAATAATTTCTTATTGCTTGTTTTGAATATGTCTCCTATTATAATTTCACTGGGTGAAATAATCCATTGTTCTTTTGCCTTTTGACTAATCATTCCATGGTCATTTTCTCAAACCTTGGTGTCTTACGGAGCACTATCATACATCTACATCCATGCCATCATATCTCTAAACATGTATATATGGGCTTTTTTCTTTTAGATGCTGCCTCCAAGCATGCTGCTGTAGGTTTTTTTGATTGTCTTAGAGCTGAAATGGAAGAATTTGATATTTCTGTCAGCACTGTGAATCCAACCTTCATCTGTTCATACCATCGCCAACCAGCACCTGGCAACTGGGAGGCGTCTATTTGGAAATGTAAGTTTTGATGGATGAAGATGGGGCCCATGTAGCACAATGGAAGCTTTTTCAGGGTGAAGACACGAGCATAGGAAAAATAATGGAAATAACAGAAAGGACGAATGGTATGGGTAGCAAAAGAAAAGAGATATTAGAAAGGGAATATGAGCCTGGTGAAAAGAGAAGGAACGTGGAAAGAAACAACATTATGTGAGAAAATAAATATGCTAGGGCATCAAGAATGGAGATGGAGGAGAGCATGAAAGGTCCAGAGGTTCCACTGCACTCAGGTTGTTCCTTCTCTTAGGGACTGTCAAGATTTTACATCAAAATTGTAAAAAAATCATAGGGATGTATCGATAAAGAGAATGGAATGGATAAGGGCTTAAAAGTATGTAGGAATTCAACTGATTTGACTGATGCGCTAGTTGTGTGTCTTCACCACCATTCCCTCAGAGTACCTGTCTGTCTGTTTGTCTGCCTGTCTGTAGCTGTCACTCCTCTCTAAAAAAGATTTACAGTCTTTTTCAGGAAGGTGGCATATGGTGTACACCCAGTGGAGGTAGCAGAGGAAGTCTTGCGCACAGTGAGCAGGAAGAAGCAGGAGGTGCTTATGGCCAACCCTATCCCCAGAGCAGCAGTGTACATTCGAACCTTCTTCCCTGAGCTGTTTTTTGCCATTGTTGCCTCAGGTATTAGGGAAAAGTTAAAGACAGAGGAGGAAAAATGATTTTGTTCAGTTATTTTCACTGGGTTTGACTTGAAAAAAAAGTTTGTTTCAAATTTCAGTGATTTCTGCTGCTTGCTGTGGGTAGAATAAAGCTACTACCACTGACATTCATTCATGGAACTTCTACTCTTCTGGATTTAGGGAATATGAGATGTCATTTTTTACAGTAGAACAGTATGGGAAAAGCCCTACTAGGAACTCTGTCACTGTATAATACAGTGATTCCCAATCTAAGTCAAAGTTTGGGGACATGCAATAAATCACCAGAAAAATCTGTTAGTGCTAGAAATGATGGGAACTTACAGGAACAAAGAGATGGGGAAGCAGGGATATGTGCGAGAGAGAGGAGTAAAAACCAATGGAAAACGCAGTTAAAGCCTGGCTCAGAGTGTTCCTCAGATAAGCTTTCTGGAATTTTATTTTCATTTATTTTAAGCCTGATGTCAGGTAATATTCTCTGATATCTCCTACTTCTTTTAGTGTGAGAGACACAAAATAATGGTACTCAAGTCATTCAAGCCCAATCATTCATGCTGATCATACACTCCATGCAGTTGCCTGTTTTCCAAATTGGAGAACCCTGTAAACTATTCACTCTCTCTTTGAGAGAAGTCTAAATTATCCTTCTTTATAATTTTTGGCTTACAATTTGGTTTTCGTTTTTGTTTCTGTTTTAGTTTTTTTAAGATGAGCAGCCCAGAGCTGCATGCAGCATTCAAAATAAATAAACAATTTGGATTCACAGACAAGCATACAGATACTTCCTGGGTTTTTCACTTCTTTTCTTCTTTTGCATGTCTTATGCAAATTCCCTCTTTTGAGACATTTTTCTGACTTCTCTGACTGCTCCTGATCATTGAGTTTCCTTGTTGACTCTGCCATTAATCATCATGTCCAGCAAAAACATGGCCATTGTTCATGTCGATTGCCTAAATTCCATATATTTCCAAAATTCTTTCACTCCTACTCATTCTAGGCTCCTCTTCGCATCACATTTTCCCAGTTCATGCTGAGGCCTTGCTCTGCCTCTTGTCTCATCCTGGGGGGCTGAATAAGAATATAAATAAAGCTAATGCGAGGGTGTCCTGATCTTCAGTTTTTACATCTAAGGGCTTAAATTCTGTATCCCAAACCTTCCGTCTCCCTTGTGGAGTGTGGCTATACCAGGTGCTGCTGAGGCATTCTGGGAATTGTAGTTCTAAGACTCTGTTGCACATGCTCACTGGAATGCTTGTATGGGATTGGCTTAGGAAGTTACCTGTGTGACGTGGGAATCATTTGAAACTACTATTTAAAGCTGTGACTATTTGAATAAAGGAACATTCATTACTCACCACACTGGTGTTCACCATGGTCCCTAGGGGACTTATTTATTTATTATATTAATAACTGCTACATTCCCTTTCTTGTGCCATCAGTACTCAAAGAGGTCATGACCACTTACATTTTGTCCTGTCAAAGTGCCTTGTTTGCAGAATACCTACAAAGGAAATAGCTACTCTGGAACCATGGAACCAAAGTGCTCTTGCTGCTACAAGTCCCATTGCTCATGTAACTTTCAACAGCAGATCACTTTTATACCTCATTCATCAGCAGAGTCTCCAAACATGAAAGGAATTCTGAGGGCAAGGAAATATATGGCTATCATTTTGTGGGGATATTAACTTTTTTTGCTGTATCTCTAACTCATTTGCTCTGACTTGGAGAAACCAGACTCAGTGAGGTGGTTGACCAGTGGGGAGGAGACAGTTCCTGCAGTATCAGTTCGAGTTTCGTCTCTTTTCTGTTATAGCACTGGGGTTTTATTGTTATGTGAATGACTATACCCCAACTAGGAAGTCAAACAATGACTTTTTAAAAAATTTTCTAGCTCCTCACCAGAACTCTACTCCTTCAAACAAATGGGCATTTGCTGTGGTCTCAGTTTTACCTGTGTCTGTACCTCAGCAAAAGCCAAGCCCTTCACAATTCCACAAAACCCAAATATAGAATAACTGGGTAATTTAATCAGAAAAGGATCATGAATCATAGGACATCACAGCTAAACATGAATCAACGCTTTTTGTGGCTGCCTCATCCCTGGAAGTGTTCAAGGCTAGGTTGGGGTGTCCCTGCCCATGGAAGGGGTTGGAACAAGATGGTCTTTAAGGTCCCTTGCAACCCAAACCATTCTCTGATTTCCTTGATTTCTATTATTTTCTTGCTTTGTTGTAGAAACAAGTGGATTACATGTTAAAATAAGCTGAATAATCCTTCTGCTCCATTTTGCATGTTCTAGATATCAGCAGAAATTCTTCATGTAATTTCACTTACTTAAAAAATTTGAACAGTTCAAGGAGCCACAGTAAAAAGCAATGAGAGTGACAAAGGTGACCCATCACGAAATTTGCATGGAACAGTTGTGTTTTAATCTAGAAAGTAGAAGGAAGATATATCTTAATGGTTTTCGAATTCCTAAAATGTACTGCCAAGAAGATAGAATTAAACATTTTGCTGGAGGAGGACAATGTGCTAAAATTACTGCAAAGGAGATTTACAGGGACAGAATTTTCAACTAAGAATAGTTAAGTACAAAGGATAAATTGACACAGAAATTTTCAAATGCCTGTCTTTGGAAGCTTTAAAGAAGAGATTAATGAAACATCTGTAAAAAACCAATGTAGCTTTAGTTTATCCTGCCTAGAGGAAAAGAAGGATTAGATGACCTTTTAAACAGGTCACACTTTTCTCTTATTAGATGTTTTTTTTCTCATCTTGAGAACAGTGTTTCTCCACTGGTATTTCAGAAGCAGTATTTTTTCCCCTCTAGATAAATAAATTATTTAATTTGAACTTTTCTATTCCGTTTGTCTATCTCAGTTTTGCTGTCTCACCTGTGGATCTCTGTTGTATATAAAAATATTATGATAACAAATAGAAATATTATAAGTTCAGTAAGAGGTATTTTCTATGAGCCTCACTCAACTGTATTTTAATCTATGTAGATTCCTTAATATTACTAACTTTTATAAATGAGGACAGAACTAGACCCACAGATTTAGTTGTAGGTCATAGGAGAAAGATAATCAGCTATAGCTCCTTTAATTAATTTTTTAAGCTCACATGCCCAAAGGGCACATTGTTTTCTTTCAGTGTGATCTGAAGTTGCACTATTTTAAATTTACAGGGGTTTGTGCTAAAATCAACTGTTACTTTTGTTGTTCAAGAAAATTGACATTGTGAGGCATTTCTAGACATAAGGACCCTTGAGGTAAGGAAGAATTTAAAACTGAGGAGATTCTTGTTTAATTTTAGACATCTGTCCTAGATATAGCCCACTTAAGGATGATCTCCCAGACCCCCTTCTTAAGTGGTGGAAAGAAACAGGTGTCTACAGTCTGATTTGTCTAACTTACTGCTCAGGATAATAGGAATTGCATCGCAGAAGTGCCAATACAAGTGTAGCTCTATGTACCTGTGCCACAGGTATCTGAAGTTTACTGAGATGCCACATTCATCAAGACTGATTGGGTCTAAAGAATCGGAATAAATGTGCCACAGTTTTTAACCTGCCTTCAAATCATATGGTTCCAGGACTTACTGGGAGTCAAAAGTTAAAATAAGGGCCAAAATACAAAACACTGGATTACAAATAGGGATAAGAAGTCTTGCATTTCATCATATGACTTCATTTACCAGACATTCAGCAGAAGACATGTCTTCTTGAATGGGTAGTATGTGAGAAAAACAGACAGTCTGAGATTTAAGAATTGATCTGGATGGGGTCCTATTGGACAATTATTTAAAAGCCCTTGTCCACACTGAGCACTTTATAAGAGTGCAACACACTGTAAGAAAAATCCTGAAGAAACAGCATATGACAGAGGCTGGCCATCTGTGTTAGTAAACTGCAGGGTAAGAAAAAAATGAGGTGCTTACTTAAATTAGATCCTTTAAAGGACTTGTAGGCACTAACTAAGTATGTTCCTGGATGAGGTGGAAGTTCCTCAGTGACTCCCAGAAACAACATGAGGTGAGTAAAAATGTATTGTGAAAAGGGATATATTACAAGTGCAAGAAGCAGAAAGTCAGATGGAATCAGGAATAATTCCTATATCAGTGAAGATGTTAGAAACATCTCCATCACAAAGAAATATGTGAAAGTAGGGGAAGGAATCAAGGTCTTGTGTTCTGGTCAAGGGATTGAAACTGCTTCTACCAAAGTAAATACCAAACTCTCTAGCAACTGCTGGAGACGAACGGAAGGTGGCAGTTTCAGAACACTGTAATGAATAAAGACAAACTTTTCTAAAGATGAAAAGGGAAATATTATTGCTGTCTGCTGCTGCCTGGTGGGTTGGTATAGAGAAGATGGAGCCAGATACTTCTCAAATGTGCACAGTAGAAGAAAAAAAGGTAATGGACACAAATTGAAGGACATGGCACTCTGATTTGATGTTAGGAATGCTTTTTCTACAGTTGCAGCTCTGAAGCACTGGGACAGGTTGCCAACAGGGTCAGGAAATCTCATTTCCTCAATATATTCAAAATTCAACTAAGTCTCTGAACAACATTATTGGCCTGGCTTTCAGAGGGAAGGTTGGACCAGACACAAACCTCATGACATACTTCTCACAACAAACTTACAATTTAAATTATTCTTTTATTGTGAGTCTATAGGTATAGGTGAGTCTTGTAGTGGGTTTCCAGCCAAAATAGTTTTGATACTTGCTCAGCCAGAGAGTGTGATTCTGTCAGTTTTCCCACTGGATGGGAAAACTTGGATAAATACCAAATGCTGAAACCACTGAAAATAATGAAACTGCAGTCAAATTAGGCATAAATCATATATATATATATATATATATATATATATATATATATATATATATATATATACAGTAGGTTTATTTTGGAACAATTTAATTGCAATGGAAAGGAGTTATGTAGCTATTTTTGTTATTACCTATAGAAATGTAGCAATATAAAAGTATAAAAATACCACTTAAGAAAATAGAAAGAAAGGATAAGATTAGATAGTAGAGAGGAAAGATATCACCACCCGTGGACAAATTTCAATGCCTGTTGGTGAAGGTGATGGTCACAGTCTTGATCCATCAGGGCTGGGGTCCCATGAAACCAAAGGTTCAATGGGTTAATGTTTAGGTTCAGGTGAGAATGGACAGGTACTCCCCTGGAGGGAGTTTTGCACTGTCTGATATAACACTGTGCAGTGCCTGCAGTCCTCTGGTGGAAAGCCTCAGAAATGAGTCTGGGGGCACCTTGGGTGTCCTTGATGGTTTATGGCCCCTTCTAAGACATGGCAGCTACCTCTCACACCAGTGTAGCTGAGGCAGTTATTCCCCATCAGAAAGGATGAAAACCTTCAGGCCTATGTGTGTGTCCCAATACATCCCTCTCATGGGTTTCTG